CATTTATTATAAGATTATCTAGTTCGTGATCGAAGGATTTTAAAAAAAAAAAAAATTTGACAAATTGGCGACCTGTCAAAGTCAAAAGTATGATTTTCGTTAAAAAAATACGGTCGATTTTCAGCTATATAAAAAAAAGTTTTGCATAAAAAAAAAAATCCTTCGATCACGAACTAGACTTATATGTGTAAATGAAGCACACTAAATTTTAAATAAATCGGTTTAATGGTATTCGAGTAATCGTGGTCACCGACTTGGAAAATGTCATTTTGAGAAAAACGCATTCAAAGTTTCAACTTACTTTTTTTTGTTCAGGAGAAATTTTGTTTCCAAGTTACAAAGAGTCATCGATTCCTGGACCATATAATAACTCTTCCGCAGTGGTTGCCGTTTCTAAATCATAGGAAAAGGCCATGTGTCGTTAGGGTCAGGTATGGCTGGCCACCTTGTATAAAGCCACGGGACGCGCCGCTGCAGTGTTCTGTATATCTCATTTATTTTTCACCGGATCAACTTTGAAATTTACAGACACATTTCTAAATATGTATACTTTAAGAAAATGCACAAAAAAAAAATTCGATTTTTCGAAAGTTACAACTGGTGTTCCCCCCTTAAAAATAGGAAAGCGATTCTTCACGATTGGTGAATAAAACTCAGGTACGTAGGAATCCTAGAATAAGAGTGAGTGATTGATTGGTTGATTAATTGATAGATTGATGGAATGATTGATGGATTGATTGATTGGACGATTGATTTATGGATTGGTTGATTGAGTAATTGGTGGATTGATTGGTGGATTGGATTGCTTGGTGGATTGATTGGTAGATTGGATAATTGATTTATAGATTGGTTGATTGAGTGGTTGATTGGTGGATTGCTTGATTGATTGACTGATTGATTGGTGGATTGATTGGATGATTGGTTGATTGAGTGATTGATTGGTGGAAAGATTAGTTGCTTGGATGATTGATTTATAGATTGGTTGATTGAGTGGTTGATTGGTGGATTGCTTGATTGATTGACTGATTGATTGGTAGATTGATTGGATGATTGGTTGATTGAGTGATTGATTGGTGGATAGATTGGTTGCTTGGATGATTGATTTATAGATTGGTTGATTGAGTGGTTGATTGGTGGATTGCTTGATTGATTGACTGATTGATTGACTGATTGATTGGTGGATTGATTGGATGATTGGTTGATTGAGTGATTGATTGGTGGATAGATTGGTTGCTTGGATGATTGATTTATAGATTGGTTGATTGAGTTGTTGATTGGTGGATTGATTGGATGATTGGTTGATTGAGTGATTGATTGGTGGATAGATTGGTTGCTTGGATGATTGATTTATAGATTTATTGATTGAGTGGTTGATTGGTAGATTGCTTGATTGATTGACTGATTGATTGGTCGATTGATTCAATGATTGGTTGATTGAGTGATTGATTGGTGGATAGATTGGTTGCTTGGATGATTGATTTATAGATTGGTTGATTGAGTGATTGATTGGTGGATTGATTGGATGATTGATTTATGGATTGGTTGATTGATTGGACAACACAATTATACTTTTTTATTTTCTTTATTAGGTTTTAAGAATGCCGCCAAAGTACGTTAAGAAAATACCATCTTCTTCTTACCTTCTTCTTCTTATAAATTTATGTTTTATAAAGAGGAAAAATTTCGCACTATATTAATTGTGTTGATATTCATATTTTCTAAATGTCAGTGGGCAGAGAAATTTAGTCCAATTTGATCAATTTTTAAAAACCTCTTTCGCGATATTGAATCCGCTATTTTGAAAATTTTAAATCTGACTTCAGATTCGTATTCAGCGACCTCGAAAACCTCCGAGTAGCGAGATTTAATCAAATTTGATCAATTTTTAAAAATATTTTTAGGTTCATCCGCCATATTGGATCCGCCATTTTGAAAATTTTAAATTTGTCTTCAAATTCGTATTCAGTGACCTCAAAAACCCCCGAGTAGCGAGATTCAAGCAAATTTGATCAATTTTTAACAAAATTTTTATGTTTGTCCGCCATTTTGGATCCGCCATTTTGAAATTTAAAAATTCGATTTTAGAATCTTATTGAGCAACCTTAAAAACTTATTTTCACCAAGTTGAATGAAAATCTATTAAAATTTATTGAAGTTATTCAAGTTTTTACATTACTAGTTTTGTTATGGTAATGATTGCTTATTTTATATGTTGCATATCAATCAATTGGTTCAATTATTTTACATCTACCAAGAATTTTTTTTCAGTTTTTACATCCCTTTACATAGTAGTGTACTTGGGATAACTTTTTTCTTAAACCTCTTTAAACTGCAAGGGTGTTTACATTTACCCCGAATTTTGGGAAAATTTCAAAATCTCGGGGTAAATGTAAACAGTCAGTTTTAAGCGATTCAAGTTAATCAATATTTTTTTGTACCTCATAAAATGTTTCTAGGGAAGTGAAGTAACAAGTTCATGCAGTAGAAAACCGGAAGTATTGCTTTTTAAAATAAAAAACTTACGTTATTGTCGAAACTAAGCAAATCCGTTTACATTTACCCCAAATGACCCTAATATAACATATATGTAAGAATAATATGCATATAAAATAATATAATATACAATATATTTTATATATATATATATATATATAATTTTTATATTATATTATATTATATTTCAAAGATTTCAGAGAAATTGGAAATTTTATACAATATAGTAAACAAATAAAATAAAAAGGTCGCATACAATAAAAATTTTTAATCAACAACTTGACAGTCTATTAGATGTTTAATAAGATTTGCGAGAAATTTAATTAAAATAAATATAGACTAAATATACAGGGTGTATCATAACCAAGTACTATTAAGAAAATATATAAATCATGGAATATTTTTTTAAACGCATAGCAAAAAATTTAGCTGTGGTTACTAATTTTGATATATCAGATAGCAAACATCTATTCTCATGTCATTCCCCATGTAAAATCCTTTATCATTTTTTTTAAATTTTCCCAAGTCAATTGCTATGTCAAAAAATAATAAAGGATTTTACATGGGAAATGACATGAGAATAGACAAAAAGGTTTGATATTGAAAAATTTTTCAAAAAAATGATAATGGATTTCACATGGGGAATGACATGGGAAATTTCAATATAGATGTAGAACATCATTATAGTTCTACAGTTACGCCACAAGATGGTGAAAATATTTTCTCTCACAGTTGAGATCAGTCTGGAATACTATAAAAGCTACTATAATAATATCTGAGTCTAACTCAGAAGTTGTATCTTACCGAGGTTTTCTCCCTTGAATTTTACCCAGTTGCCTCTTTATTTACCTGCAAATATAAAGTTACAAGGAAAGGGGGGGGGTTAGAGAACAAACTCAATCAAAAATATTTTACAAAGGCAAATTATTATTAGCAAACTTAAGAAACGGGAAAAACGATTTTTCTATATTCAATTATTATGACCAAGTCATTAAAAATCTCACACATCCAAGTTGTGAGCCTCCTCGTGACCAAGCCACGCCCAATAAGTGATCAAATCACGTTTAAGAAATCTCCTTTTAATAAAAAACACACCTACCTCCCACTCTTCTTCGGTCTCAGTCCTCAATCTCCTCCACCCCACCAACGGAAACTTACGCAATTCAAAAACAACTTTTTTATTTTAAACTTTAAATACAAAATACAAATATCAATGAAACTCAAACTACAAATTCTCCACTTCACTAAATATGAACATAAAGTTTAACCAAAATTTTCCACTGTTCTGTTGTGAGGTCAATGCTCGACTGCCGAGCCTTTCGTCCCTTTTCCCCATCTCTCTTCCCTATTTCCCCTCAAGTCCCTTTTCGTCATCGTTCGTCGCTAACATATCCTCCACCCCGGTACGGGAATCTGGTGATTCCGTACCTAATGATGCTGGAACAAGAACGATGATTTTGTTTGCTGCCCGTTTAAAAATTCGTCCACGGGATAATACATCAACGACTCGTATTCTTCCATCTTTACCTGGATAAACGGATTTTATCAAACCTTTGGGCCATACGTTTCGTGGCATGGAAGGGTCAGCAATGAGTACAACATCTCCGGTTAATAATTTTCTAGCCTCTTGTGTCCATCGTTTTCGTACAACGAGATCAGGAAGGTATTCCTTCATCCATCTTACCCAAAACATGTCGGCTAACCTTTGTGATACTTTCCACAGTTTTCGACTACACAAGTCGTCATTAGTAAAATTTCCTCGTACTACAGCTCCAGATGATGATCCTATCAGCCAGTGATTAGGTGTAAGCGATTCTTGATCCCGATGGTCCACTGATACGTTTGTTAAAGGACGACTGTTAATAACGTGCTCAACCTCGGTAAAGAGAGTTCTTAAAACCTCTTCTGTGGGAAATCTATCGCGTAATATTACTGATAACGCTGTTTTGACACTACGCACCAATCGCTCCCAAGCTCCTCCCATATGTGGCGTTTGAGGTGGATTAAATCGCCATTTTATTCCTTTATTTGTCATTTCGTCAAGAATTCGGGCATGATCCATTTTGCTTAGTTCTTCCTTCAACTCGTTGTTCATGCCGAGAAAATTGGTTCCGTTATCGGAAAACATTTCACTAGGAGTTCCTCGACGATTACTCATACGTTGGAAAGCCATTATCGCAGAGTCGGTGGATAGTGTTGTCGCCAATTCTAGATGTATGGCTCTTGTAGTCATCCATCTTTTTTCGTGTCTTCTATTAACTGTTACAAACAGTGGGCCAAAATAATCTAAACCACAGTATGTAAATGGCCTTTTATGATGTCCCAATCTTGCTGGTGGTAAATCTCCCATGCGTGGTTGTTGTGCCTTTTCACGTTGAAGACTACAAACGTAACACTGAGAAGCAACGGCCCTTACAGTAGGTCTAAGTTTTAATATCCAGAATTTTTGTTTTATTTCGTTTACCACTGTTTCGTTTGATCCGTGTAGAAATTTCTCGTGGTAATGTTTAACGAGTAGACGTGTAAGATAGTTTTTTTCCATCTAAGATGATTGGTTGTTTAACAGCATCTAGTATCTCCCGCGTTGCGTTTATCCGTCCATCAATTCGGAGAATCCCTCCTTCTTGAGTTACAATCGGTGTCAAATGTTTGAGACGACTTTCTTTATGTAGTGTTCGATATTGATTAATGAGCTTAATTTCGCTTCCAAAGCAATCTTCCTGAGTTTTTCTGATTAAATATTTTTCAGCCTTGTCCAGCCATTCAGCGGAAACTTTGGGTTTGAGAATTCCTTTCCAGATGTTTGGTGACATCAAAATTAAAGCCATACAGCGAAGTAAGCATATCCAGTTACTGAAATTTTCAATTCTAGGTGTTAAGTAAGGAGTTTTTTCTATGATTACTCCAGCGAATTCTTTTTTTATTTCTGTCTTAGGCGAAGTTATTGCAGCTACAACAGGTTGTACCGGCCACGACGATTCGGGACGTTGTAAAAACTCAGGACCGTTAATCCACCGATTCATTGACTTATCCATGTTTCCGATATCTCTGGTTGCGTGATCTGAAGGATTCAATCTCGTGGATACCCATTTCCATTCGTCAGGGTTCGTTAATTCGTCAATCTCTCCAAGACGATGAGCAACAAATGATTGATATTTTCGGGGATCTGAGCGAATCCATCCAAGCACAGTTTGAGAATCTGTCCAAAATGTGCGCTTGATTAGTACAATTTTTAATTCTTCTCCTATAGTTTTTGCAATTCGACTGGCTATCAAGGCAGCTTGTTGCTCCATTCGGGGTATTGAGACAGGTTTCAGCGGAGCAACTCTCGCTTTTCCAATCACGAAAGATACTTGAATTGTTTTGTCATCATGAATAGTCCTCACATATACAACTGCTGCATAGGCTTTTTCGCTTCCGTCACAAAACACGTGTAGTTCTGTGTGGTTTGGTAAGCTCCTCGTTCCGCAGTATGATCTAGGAATTTGATAATCTTTTATTTCCTCAAGCATACTTATCCATACACGCCAGGATGTAAATTCTTTTTCTTTTAGTTCTTCATCCCAACTGATGCCACTTCGCCAAACATTTTGTAGTAAGATTTTACTTCGGATTACGAAATGTAACAATATCCCAAGTGGATCGTAAACCGACATAATTACTCTCAGCATTTCGCGTTTAGTTAGTTTCCGTGCTCCCGTTATAACTGATTCAGGAATTTTTTTCAGGCTTAGATCAAATGAGATTGTATCATCAGTCGGACACCATTTTAATCCAAGAGTTCGTTCCACTGGCATCTCATTGATCGATAAATTTACATACTCTTTGACTCTTGCATTGGTAGATATTGAATTCAATACAGATTTATTGTTGCTGGCCCAATCTTGTAGTTCGAAACCGCAACATCTTTGAATATAAGAAACATCTTTGACTCGCTTCTTAGCTTTTTCTTCTGTATCAAAGCTGTCAAGGTAATCATCGACATAGTGACTCCCTGTGATGGCTTCTACAGCTGAAGGATGTGAATCTTTGAAGGTTAAAGCATTTCTTTGCATAACAAATTGAGCCGTATATGGGGAAGACACTGATCCAAAAACCATGGATGTCATCACGTATGTATCTGGCTTACGATCGCGGTCCATTCCGCGCCATAAAAACTTTTGAGACTCTTGATCTTCTTCGCGAATTTTCACTTGTAAGAACATTTCTCTTATGTCTCCTTTGACGGCAATTATTCCTTTTCTAAAGCGTATTAGAACGCCTATCAATGAACTCACTAAATCTGTTCCTTTTAATAATTTATCGTTTAAGCTGACACCATTAACTTTAGCTACTGCGTCAAGTATTACCCTTATTTTCTTTTCTGGCTTATATGGGTTAGCGATTCCAAAATGTGGTAAATACCATGACCTTGGGTGATCCACAGTAGATTCATCAATCTTTTTTGCGTATCCGGATTTGATGAGGTGATCAATTTGATGGCAATACCGCTCAGCATACGTTTCATCGTTGTCCATTTTTTTTCAATTGACTTTAAGCGATTAAGAGCGTACATTCTGTTGTCAGGCATTTTTATATTGTCATGTTTCCACAAGAGTCCTACTGTCCAATAATTTCCCATATGTACTGCTGTCGTTAAAAGAATGTTTTCTGCTCTTTCCTCTTGTTTATTCTTTTTTCTTGATGATGTTATTCCAGATCCTTCCAGTGCAAAACTATTTTTTACTAACGCGTTTTAATCCAAATCGATTATTGATCTGTCGTCTTCCTCAATATGATAAATAGTTTTAGGGTTTTTGATACTATGTTCTGGAACACTGTTTACTGGAATTCGACCATGAATAACCCATCCAAGATGAGTGAGCGATGCTGCTGGTTCGTTTCTCGAAGTGTGTCGCATCTGAATAGCTGTTATAAGGTCCCAATGATCTTAGCCAATTAGTATCGTTGGTTTTACATTTCTAAAAGGTTCAACAGGTATGTGTGATAGGTGTGCGTATCGCTCCACTTCTTCTTTTTTAATTGTCTGGCGACAAAGGTTTAGACTGTTTATAGTGCGAGCATTTGTTATTTTATGTTTTATTGTACTATCTAAACCACTGACTTCAAAATCTACTAGTTGACTATTTTTATCAGACATCCCTAATTCTCCAATACATGTTAATGCTAATGGTTGACAAATGCCTTTCAATCCAATTATTGTTGCCAGTTCTTGATCTATTAAAGTTATTGTTGATCCTTCATCCATCAGTATGGGGGTCGTGATATTTTTCTTAGGTCCATACACTTTTACAATCGCGACTTTTAATAATATTCGCTCTGTGGATTCTAGTCATCTCTCATTAGATTCGCTATCCTGATTCTCATTGGTGTTAGCCACAAGATTGTTATTGGGTTTGGATGTTTTAGAATCATTTAGCCTATTGGTTTTGTTGCTGTGTAGAAATGTATGATGATTTCCTTTACAGTTGGAAATTTTACACGCTGGAGCTCGACATTCATTTTGCAAGTGTGACGAGCTTTTTAAACACTTAAAACAGATTCCGTTTTTTCTGGCCCAAGCCCACCGATCAGGAATCGCCGTTTCTTTAAAACTTTTACAATCATCTAAATTATGAGATTGTTGATCGCAGAAGGAACATGTTTTATCTAGTTTTGCTTTCTTTGATTCAAGAGAATCGATCTCTTCATTTTGATTTATCGCGTTAACCCTTTCCCATGGACGATAACTTGATTTCCTGTTATTTCGATTATTTCCTGTTTGGAAATTCTGGTTTCGATCTTTACTCTTAGTATTATCTCGTTTTTGTTGTGACGTTGCAGCTGATGTATCAAAGGTTCCTGCTTTGCATGCTATCTCCGCTTCATAGAAAAGGAACTTTGACAAAGTTACTAACGCTGGTACCGTTGTCTCTTGTTGGCTATCGAGATACCGATTGTAATTGTAAACCATGGCATAAGGAATTTTTTGTATAATCTCTCGTTGAAGATCTGGGCTGTGCAAACACCCAGTATGATTTACTGCTTCCAAAGCAGCCACGCAATTTCTTACTTTGTTGGCAAATACAATCAAATCGCCGTTATTATTATATATTTTTGGCAAAGATTTGATATCTTGAATAATGCGGTCGGCGACTGCATTCGAATTTCCAAATCTTAATTCCAAGAGTTTCATGATTTGACGTGTATCGCGAGTGGTAATCATTAACGAAGAAACTGCTTCCTTTGCCGGTCCCTTTAAACTTTCGTAAAGCCGTAATAAATTTTCTTCTTCGCTGAATCCTCCTTTTTTAGTTGTTTCTTCAAAGGCTCTTTTGAAACACTGCCATTCCAAGACATCACCCTCAAAGACTGGTAATTTTTTTCCTACTGTGATTTGTTGTAAGAGATGGCGTGTTTCATCTTCTATTACTAATCGTTCTTTAAATCGATTCTCTTCTCTAGTGTTTTGGAATGAAGGTTCTTTGCCCGAAGGGTTTGGAAATTGTCGATCTTCGTTATTTTCTGTCTCGATATTGTTGATGTCTGCTGGGTTTACGTTATTTAGCCATTGATGTATTTTGTTTCGATCATGAATTTCTCTCTCTTGTGTTCTTCGAGTAATGATAGATCTAAGATCTTCGGATTCTTCTTCCATCCTTTCCAGATCCATATTCAATTGTTGATTTATCCTTTCAATTTCGAGCCTTGCTTGATCTTCTAATAATTTTCGTTGAATTTCATAACGCCTTTAAGCAGCTTGATATTCCAATTCTCTTCTTCTATGCTGAGAAACAGTGCTGGTGGACCTCCGCTCCGTACCCCCACTCCACGAATCTCCTTGGATATTCGCTCCTCGTGGTCTTCGATTAACAGAAGGATTTGGCATAATCCTCTCAGTAGCATCACTGCCCGTAGTGGATTGTGAATCCTCAGCCATTTCTTCTGTTGATATCCTTTTTTATAAAAAAAAAAATTACAATAAATATTCCTAGAATATTTACCATAAAGCAACGATATAAATTAAAATAATCAGGAGATAAGGAATAGTAATTAAATATAAAACAAAGCATCTATATATATAACAATCACAATAATTTTATTTATAATAAGGAATTACTTGTAAGGTTAATTTTAAATTCGAAATGTAATATTATTATCGGTGGTATTTGTACATCGAGACGATGTTTATTTTATATTAAAATTGTCAAAGAAGGCATATTGACCTAGGATTTTATGGTTGTTTACCTTTACACTTTCAAACTAGCTAGGTTACTGGGTGTCCTTCAAAAGAGTGAGGCGAATATTTAAAGGCGAAATTTAATTACTACACGGAGAGAAAAATCTGCCTTTTATAGTATAGAAAGGTTTACATTTAATGCACACAAATTTTATATGCTATATAGACATGAAATTTGAGTAATTATAGTACAATCGTATGTCTTTTTACCATGAAACTTGTCTATGCTAATAAAGTTTGTTATATAGCCTCTTATTACATACTTATTATACTTTTAATCCAACGGCGCCATGCGGAGATCGCACATAACATCATCCTACTATGTTTGCATAAGTTCTATGCTTTTTCGGGGATAGACTCTTGCAACTGGCGATTAGGCCACGCCCACCTTTACTTAATTGGAAGTAACTGTGTGCCTAATCGCCAGTTGCAAGAGTCTATCCCCGAAAAAGCATAGAACTTATGCAAACATAGTAGGATGATGTTACGTGCAATCTCCGCATGGCGTTGTTGCTATTAAACTACATGTTTCGTACTATAGAAGCAAATATACTATGCTTTTTTAGTACGGACAAATACTATCCTAAAAATTCTCAAATCTTTGCTCTATTAGTATGAAAAGTTTAAAGAAAAATAGCAGTAATCTATTTCATACTATAAAGCCTTGATTTTTCTCTCCGTGTACATAAGTTTAATTTAATTTCTCAAATATTCATAATTACCCGGCGCCTCCACCATTTATATGTATCTTACCGAGGTTTTCTCCCTTGAATTTCACCCAGTTGCCTCTTTATTTACCTGCAAATATAAAGTTACAAGGAAAGGGGGGGGGTTAGAGAACAAACTCAATCAAAAATATTTTACAAAGGCAAATTATTATTAGCAAACTTAAGAAACGGGAAAAACGATTTTTCTATATTCAATTATTATGACCAAGTCATTAAAAATCTAACACATCCAAGTTGTGAGCCTCCTCGTGACCAAGCCACGCCCAATAAGTGATCAAATCACGTTTAAGAAATCTCCTTTTAATAAAAAACACACCTACCTCCCACTCTTCTTCGGTCTCAGTCCTCAATCTCCTCCACCCCACCAACGGAAACTTACGCAATTCAAAAACAACTTTTTTATTTTAAACTTTAAATACAAAATACAAATATCAATGAAACTCAAACTACAAATTCTCCACTTCACTAAATATGAACATAAAGTTTAACCAAAATTTTCCACTGTTCTGTTGTGAGGTCAATGCTCGACTGCCGAGCCTTTCGTCCCTTTTCCCTATCTCTCTTCCCTATTTCCCCTCAAGTCCCTTTTCGTCATCGTTCGTCGCTAACAGAAGTAAAGCAAACTTTTTTTATTTTCAGATGAGTTGCAGTAATGTTATTTGATATTTAATCAAATAAAATTTGTTTTTAAAATTATTGTTAATTTTTTAATATTATTTACAATTTTATAAATAAAAGAATAACTTATTTAAATTAGTTAAAAAAAGTTAACCCACTTCAAAAAATTAAAAATTAAAATCCATCAATACATCTCCAAGTTATAACATCTTTTGTGAATTTGATAGCTCGAAATAAATTCTGGCGCTAGTGCCTGTCGTAACTAGCGAGCTTCCCCCACTCCACAACTAATTGTGTAAAAAAACCCGAATGATCCATACAATAGTAAATTATTATGCGTTCAAACAACTTCAATTTGATTTAAATACAATTTTATGTGTAAAATGTAATGTGTGTGTACAATATGTGTTATAATATTCTTCAGAAATTCAATTATTTGAAAGCAGTTTTCAATTAAAAACTTTTCAATTTCATCAAACATTTCAATAAAAAATCACTTATAGTTCACTTAATTTGAAAAATCTGAATCTTTGAAAATTCAATTACTTTTATTTATTTGTTGTTAAAAACAACTTTTTAGTTTGATTATTGGAACCCTTAAGAAACGAATGATTTGAGAAAGTGTGGATAGGATTGATTAATTAATAAATATTTAAAATTAATTATTCTTCACATCTAATTTTTTTCAAAATTCAAAAGAAAAAGAAACAAAAATGTTTACAAAAAATTTCCTGAAAAGCGACACACAATTAAAATAAGATGCTTCCATATGTATATTCGACATATAGAAGCGTAACATTAAAGTAATCAGAATCAGATTTTTTTATAACAAATATAATATTTATTTATTTAGTTGGATACATTATTGTTATTGCTATCAAAAAACATATAACGTAAACCTTTTATAAGATCACTATAAAACTATAGACTTTAAGGATAACATTCTCATCAC